CCTCTAGCTCAGGCAGATAATCAAGGAGAAGGACACCCGAGAGGGTGATTTCACATAATCTCCATTTTACCGCAGTTATGTTCTTCAACAACAGGGTAAAGAAAAGTTCTTGTGCTGCATAAAAAGTTTGTATCTGAAGGCAATTTTGTTCTTCAGTGACGTTTAGACAGCGTCTTCTTGCATGCTGTGGCATGGTTGACAATTGGTGACTTATTTGTTCTTCCGTTTCCTCAACTCTTCTCTCCTGGTCACGTTGTGCCATGGCTGCCAATCGCTTGTTTCTTTCTGCTACAGTTTCAGCGGCTCTTCTCTCACGTTCTCTAATTGCCCGCCGTCTACGGGCAGCATGACCTGTAATTCCTCTTTTGCGTTTTGGCATCGCGAATGCAAATAATTAAACAAAGCAAAAAATAGTAATTATAACTATGCAGCTATACCCTGCTTTCTGTTTTTAAAATCATGTACAGTAAATAAAAATTTAGAATAATATGAAGATTTGATTATTAAAATGCAATCAATTTTAACCTGTACGATATATCTAAAAGAACAAAATTTCCTTCAAACATCAGTCCGATGTAAATGATTAACAAAAAACAATGCTGCTTTATTTAAAATAAAATAATAATAATTTAAATCGATGAAAACAAATGTATGATGTAACATATAACAAAAAACAGCTCAATCCTAATTTTAACAATTTCTTATTTAGAATCTAAAATAGTAAAATGGACTTAGTTCATACAACACAGAAATGATAAAATATAAATTTATAAATAATACTAATGTGGATTTTACAAAATAATCAATGCAAAAGAAATAGAATTAATAACAATATTATTAATAAGTAATACTAATTTAAGGTATCCGACTACGTTCGGGGAACTATGATTTTAAAAAAGCGCATAAATGTATAATTTTCATGATATTTATGGTCACTTAGATTAGAATACATGTATAAAATTGTTTTAAAGACATTATGACAAAAAAAATTTATTTAAATACAATATTTTGGCAAAAAAATTAAGAATAACCTTTTTTCCAAATGTTCTTCTGTAAAAAATGCTTCTATCGTATTAATATTTTGCCTATACATAGCTTAGACCTCTGTACAGAAGCTTCTATGATTTTTGAAAAATTCACGTTATTTTCAGAGTTACAACCATTTGAAATAATTATCGGCTTATTTTCTTAAAATTTCTCCCTTCTGTTTTCGTAAAACATGGATAAACCGACTTCCAAGTTATGCGTTTCAAAAATTCTAGTTGAGCCTCTGTACAGAGATCTGAGCTATATACAGGTAAAATATTAATACAATAGAAGCATTTTTTACAAAAGGAGAACATTTGGAAAAAAGGTTATTCTAAGTTCATTTTTTGTCAAAATACTGTACTTAAATAATTTTTTATTGTAATACTATTCTTAACCCAATTTTATATACATTGTCTAATCTAATTTATGCTAAATATCATAAATATTATCCATTTTCACGCTTTTGCAAAATCACTGTTCCGAACGTAGTAGGATACCTTAAGATGAAATAACCAGCTAAAAAAATGCTGAAATAGAAATTCTGATGATGGTAAAATAAAGAATTTTATAAATTATACGATTTGCTTGAAGAAACCACGTTTTTCGAATGCTCCTCAAGAAAAGACAAAATTTCAAAAAGATCGGAAATAAAATGTAAAGTGTTGCCACAGCTACAATTGAATATTTTAATTGCAAGTAATTAATTGCTAATCAGCCAGACATTAAATATAATTACATAATAAATTTGAATAAACAAAGAATGTAATCAAAAAGAATGAAATAAATATAAAGAATGCAATTAGGATGAATTAATTATTACAGACATTTTAGGCAATTTTTTTCGCTTAATTTTTGCAGTTGCCGGAAACGTAAAGGTACATTTTTTTTTAAAGAATAGTTTATGTATGAAAATAAACAGAAAAATAGAAATTTTCAAAATTGCAAAATTTTATAAATATTTTAAAAGAATTCGCTTCAGATCAAAAGTCAAACTATAGATGTGAGTCATGAACTATCCATTCGTCCTCCGCTCATGCGCAAAGCCTTCAAATGTTATTTGGAGGGTAAATAAAGAAAAGTCATTTGTGTGGCGTGTTTATTAAAATCGCATTTATTATATATTTAAGTTATGTTTTTCAAAGCTTCATTTTTAAGTTAATGCCTTCAAACTTCACACATCGATTGCAAACTACGGTAATTTTGTAAACAAAAAATTTAACAATAATACTTAAGTAATAAGTTATTGTAAAAAGACTAATAGACGAAAAACACAATTTTTTTTTAAAAAACCGTAATTTTTAAGCAATTTTTTCAATCTTTGTACAGATTACGGATAATATTGTTCTACATACGGAAAAAAAGTTTCATGAGATTATTTTTTATAAATAAAGAAGTTATTAAGTATTTAAATACAATTTTAAGTATTTTTTAAAAAAATCGTAAAAAAAAAAAAAAAAAGATTTTGGCATTTTATTTTAGAAATGACTGATTCTAAAAGTAAAAGCAAGAACTTTTTTATTGTAGAATATCATTTCATTAACGCGAAAGAATATTCAAACGGAATGATTTAGAAATCATTTTCATAAAAGCGTATCGATTTTGACTATTTTAGAAAAAATCGTAAAAAATAGAAAATATCATTATTTTGTAAAATAAATTATACCGTATCATGGCGAAGTAAATGATTTTTCCGATTGTGTCATTATTTTTTGTTTGAGTCTCATAAAAAAAAATTAGATCGTGTTTTAAAAACGTCGGGGATAAAAAAAAAACAACGTCGAAAAATTGGAACTTCTCTAAACTTATTCCGAAAAGCCACTCGGTGGTAAAAAATGCCAACAGGGGTAAAATAATTATGCGTTTTAAGGTTTTTAATTAATATCTTTTTAACTAATTACAATATCAGAATATAAATGGTCAAAACGGATTCCTCGGATTATTCTCGATCTTTTGTACCTTCGGTGAATTTCTGCGTCGTCCGGCGACTCGTGAGAAGATAGATACACATAGATAGAAAGACAGATAAATAGATACGAATTACCAACGAATTTTATAGTGTAGATATTTCGCAAAAAATATTACTTTATGAGCACAGACATATGAATAAATGATTTTATTTGACAATACTAATATCCTCTTGTTATATTTATTTACCTAACTAATCCCTGAAATAACATTACAAAATTTGAAGTTGTCACTTCTATTGTGTGGTCATAAGCACACATACTCTTTTCTTTTTAAAATTTGTGGTCGATGACACTTGATGTTTACAGATTTTTCAAATATTAATGAATGAATGAATTAATTAATAATTAGTTACAAACAAAAATAATACTCCAACCCCATATATGAAAAGGAAAATCGTTCGTGGTATCTTTATAGCGCAATGGGCAACGCGTTGGACTTCTAATCCAAAGGTCGTGGGCTCAATTCCCAACTGGGAGAATCCCACCTAGTCTCTGAGAATGTGTTTTTTTTTTCTATACTATTTTATTGGGATAATTAAATTTAATTAATGAATAAATAGTAACAAACAAAATAATAGTCCAACACCATACATAGAAAAGAAAACGGAAAATCGCTTTCTATTTTGCCACTTAATACTGTGATTCTGTTATATGTATATACATGTTTATATTAATTGTAGTTATTTAATAAAAAGTAACTAAAATAAAAATTTTCTTTGTTGACCTAAGTAGGAATTGACTCAATTCTTTTTTTTTTTTTATCTTACTTGTTTTTGAGCCATTCATTGATTATTTGAGGGAGTGAATCTCTATATCGCGAATTATTTCATAGTTTCCTTTTCCACATTTTTTAAACAGTAAATAATAATAGTAATTTTTAAATAGCCTTTTGTGTAAGTGAAATACATCGAAAAAAAAAAAAGAACAATCTGTTAGTATAAAAATGATCATACTTGAAATGATTTAAATGTACAGAACAGGGGATTCTCAATCGGTGATCCGCGGAAAAATTTGACTAATCGTTGAAGATTTTTTTTAACTGTCTGCGCACAAAAAGTTTCTTATTCAAAAAATAATAATGAAATTTTACACACATTACTTTTAGTGTTAATACACTGATTTTAGGACCTAGAATTCCTAATTTCAATAAGTTCAGACAGTGGCGTAACGTAGAATATTAGGGCCCCCTGCAAAGTCAGGTTTTGTCTTTAATATTTTAAAAATCGGTTAAATACGTACTTGGCATCAGTCAGGCTTTGCAGGGGGCCTCCTTAGAATCCCGGGGCCCCCGCAATGCGGCGGTGTACGTTACACCACTGAGTTCAGATGTGTTAAAAGTTAGTTTTCAATAATGTATATGTCTCTCTCTTCGCTATGACATATTTATGTGAAGCGAGATTCTAAGACAGTAATAAAAACTTCGAAAATCGGTCTTCGGTTGTTTTATCGCTCTAATTTAACTTGACTAATTGAGAACCCTAAATGAAAAAGTTAATTGAAGAGCAAATATAAATTTCTCTTTAACATTATGTGTAAAATATATAAAAATTATAGAGATTTAATAGATAATTTACAAATTTTTTATAGTAATCAGAGGAGTAATCACTCATTTACAAAAAAATTCGCGCACCAAGAAGGAGTCGTCAAAATGAAACGAAATTTTATATACGTAATGACTACTTTAATTTAAGTAAATGATTAGAAAATCAAAGAAAAAGGATCATTTATTTCAGAGAAAAGGCAAAAGAACGGAGGATTTAATACCCTGTTGTGTGAACCCACTCCAGCGCAAATGCACGATGCGATACGATTGGGCATTGAGGCATACATGTTCTGTATGATGTCTTGAGACATTTCGTTCCATATTTGCTGTAACCTTGCTTCTAGTTCGTTCAAACTCGTGGGATGCCCAACTCGCCGTCCCAAATGGTCCCAGATATGATCAATTGGAGATAAATTTGGGGATCGGGCAGGCCAAGGACGGTTAGTATCAGTGCGGAGACAGTCTTGTGATACCCTTGCCGTGTGAGGCCGAGCATTGTCTTATTGAACAATGGCTCCTGGGAGCCGCTGCATGAGTGGCAACACATGTGGTTGTAGGATATCATGGACATACTGCTGGGTTGTCATGGTGCCACTGATCAATACTAGGGGTGACCGTGTATTGTAGGCAATGGTACCCCATACCATCCCACCAGCTGTGGGAAAGGTGTGTCGTTGCAAAGCAAAGGCAGGATTGAAACGTTCACCACGGGGTCTCCACATACGATTGTCATCCTTGCTGAGATTGAATCTGGATTCGTCGCTAAAGACAACCTGGTTCCATTCCGCTACAGTCCAGTTTCCTCGTGCGCGGCACCACTCCAAACGGAGGCGTCGATGGGTGGGTATCAAGGACAGCACACGTAATGGGCGATGCGATCCCAAATGTCCTTCAGCCAAGCACCTTCGTATGGTTCGAGAAGACACAGGAGCCCCTGGTGAAGGTGCTAGCTGTACCTGTATGGCGACCGATGAAGTAGTTGGCTTTACGCTAGCATTTCTTACGGGGCCGCGGTAGCCGAGTGGTATGGGTATCGGATCGTGGCTTGTCTTGTCACGAGTTCGAACCCCGTACCACTAAAGACCCACCGTGTAGGGCAGCGATGCACGTTAAATCTGTCGAGAGCTGAAACGTCCTCCCGTTGGTGTGGTGTGGTAGTTAGGAGAAAGGGGTGCCGTCCACGTCACTTGACCATGGTTCAAAATTACATGGTCCGTCGCCAAAAGCCCTCGTGTAGCTGAACAGTGCGACGTTAATATTCAATCAATCAATGCATTTCTTACGATGTGGTGGTCTTCTTAACGATTGGTCTGCCGAGGACGTCCTAAGCCTGGTCTTCGTATAAATGACATCTCTCGGATCCACTGGTCCCAACACCTCCTCACAACACAATCAGAGCGGCCTAATTGACGAGCTACTCGCCTTGCTGACCACCCAGCTTCCACCATGCCGTTGATTCTACCCCTTTCAAACTGCGACAGCTGCTCATATTGTCTTCGAAAACGGCGTAATGGCATGTCTACCTCAGCTCTTGCTTTGAAACGATTCAGCACACTCAAACAAGCTTTGGTTACCTGTTTTATACACCACAGAGGACGACGTTAAACGCCCTCTATCGGCTATACGTAACACGCAATCACGCTGTATTTCTAATCATTTGCATATCTCCCCGACATGTTACTTCATGCCAAGTTTCGTTACGATCCCGCAATTATTTCTTGGTGCGCTAATTATTTGTCCAGGACTGTACTTTGTTTTTTAAATGTGAGTTTGGTATTATTGTTTCCTAATTTTCTGAGATTCTTCTCACAAAGGTTTATTTGCTTACTTGTACTATTTATTTATCTTTTCATTTAAATATCATCGTAAGGAAATGATAATTAGAATATTGTAATTAAATTATGCTCTAGGACCTATCAAGGCATGTGCCAACCGGGCCTACGGTCTCGCTTTTGACTTGGCGTCAATAAGATCATGATCTGAATGATTTTAATTTTCTTACTTCAACCCTTTATCTACCGCATTATGATTTACTGCTGTGTTTTTCATGCAATATTTTTTTTGAATCACTACATTGAAAATTAAGGGATATACATAAACAAAATACTCAACTTAGGGAAATTTAATTAGTAAGAGCTAATTAATTAATTAAAGATATTCAATTGTAAAATTAATTATACAAATTGTTCACTTAAAATAAATAGTCAAATCGTTTTCTAAGGTTTTCCTTAACAGTAACATACAAAAAAAAAAAAAAAAAATAAGACATTTACCTTTTGACATTAACTATTTTTTAGGAACAAAAATGATTATCTTCTCAATACGCGGAAAACGCTGTCAGCTGAAAACGCAATTTCTGCTATAAAACTATTTGCCTTCCCCATTAAAATACTCATCATAGAGCCCATGCTCCCATATATCTTGGAGTGAGTGAGTAAATATTAACGTCGCACAGTTCAGCTACACGAGGGCTTTTTTGGCGACGGAACACGTGATTTTGAATCATCGTCAAATGACGTGGACGACACCTGTGAGCTGGCATCCCCCTCTCCTAACTACCACACCAACGGAAGGACGTTTCAGCTCTCGACAGATTTAGCGTGCATCGCTGCCCTATACGGCGGGTCTTTAGTGGTACGGGGCTCGAACTCGTGACAAAGCCAGCGAAGATCCGATACCTTGACCACTGGGCTACCGCAGCCCCATATATCTTGGAAGAGTAGACTTAAAAGAATATTCCTGCTAAGTATCGTCAGAGTATTCGTAAAAATGGTTATTCTATGAAATTTTAGAATGAGTGGTACTTATAAGTACCGTCGGTAGATAAAGGGTTAATAAGCTGCATATTAGCAACCAAGCCTTTATAGACACGGCAAATCCCCAAATGTGAGAGCCATTTCAGCGGTGGCACCATCTAGTGGTGGCGCTCGCTACCAAATTTGGATGCTTGAATTGATTTAATTCAAGCTCTCGTCGGATGCTAAACATTGCCATGATCAAATTTTGCCGAGAGTACCAGAGCCAAATTGATACTCAAGGGCCCTTTTACATGCCACATAATCATATGACACGCATGCGTACTATTTAAAATCTATTGACTCCAGGCCGGGATCGAACCCGCAACCTTCGTCTTACGAAGGGTGCACGCTACCTCTAAGCCACAGATGCAACGAATGATTTTAATCATCAGATACACACAGATCTTGCATATATTCGTCGCAAAACTAGATGTTTTGAGCTATATGCCAACTGACAACAGTGGCAAGACTGCATTGTTTTGTCAAATCCGTCGTCTTAATCTAGGCTTGGGCCTACCGCTATCATAGTTCATTTAGTCGAAAGTTGGCAGTTGGTTGACTCCGTTTATGCTTAGGTTTGTGAGATTGTAAGTCACACACATTTGTATGTCACAGGTTACGTTTGTACGAGTATTTGACAGTATACTTTATGTACTGTCTACTTAAAAAGGTAACAGGTAGGGCCTACTTTTGAACAGGCCTCAAGAAGTTCTTAAAATGTTATTTCTGACGTAGTGGTTCTTTAACACTTAGTAAAAATTTCTTTTGTTAAAAACGCTACAAATCCATGATATTTTTTCACAAA